GTGTGTGTGAGTGCATTAGTGTGCGAGTAGGAGTGAGTGCATTAGTGTGCGAGTACGAGTAAGTGTGTGTGCGTGCATTAGTGTACGAGAGAGTGTGTGTGTGAGTGCATTAGTGTGCGAGTACGAGTGTGTGTGTGAGTGCATTAGTGTGCGAGTGCGAGTGTGTGTGAGTGAGTGCGTTAGTGTACGAGTGTGTGTGTGTGCGTGCGAGTGCATTAGTGTGCAAGTACGAGTGTGTGTAAGTGAGTGCATTAGTGTGCGAGTACGAGTGAGTGTGTGTGTGCGTGCGAGTGCATTAGTGTGCGTGCGAGTGCATTAGTGTGCAAGTACGAGTGTGTGTGTGTGCATTAGTGTGTGAGTACGAGTGTGTGTGTGTTTGAGTGCATTAATGTGTGAGTACGAGTGTGTGTGTGTGAGTGCATTTGTGTGCAAGTACGAGTGAGTGTCTTTGTCTGTCTGTGTGTGTGTGTGTGTGTGTGCGAGAGAGAGAGAGTGTGTGTGTGTGTGTGTGTGAGAGAGAGAGTGTGTGTGTGTGTGTGTGTGTGAGAGGGTGAGAGGGAGAGTGAATGTGTGTGTGTGTGTGTGTGTGTGTGTGTGTGTGTGTGTGCGGGCGAGTGTGAGCATGAGCGTGATTGGGGTTGGAGCTGAACTCTGGTGGACGTTTTCCTCCAGGAGCAGCACTGGACACATCTGACCTAAATAAATGACAATCTTAAATTGCTCAATACTTTTTATATTAGATATTTTTGATGAAATCCCAGAGCTTTCTGACCCTTCATTTTCAGTAATTAATGACAGAATGTACATTTTTGGGTGAACTAACCCTTTAAAGAAGAAGGTTCAGACAAAAACTGAAAATGTCATTTTTGTTATGTCCTTTACTCACCCTCATGCTGTTCTACACCTGCTGTGACTACAGTATTCCCTTTCTTCAGTGAAACACTAAATTGTAAGTAGAATGGCATGAAAGCGGACAGTGATTTCGAATGCAGTGTCATACAGCATGGCCCGTTATGATGATGCTGTTTTGGAGTCTGGCATTTACAATCATCTGTTGTCATTTTATGAACAAACCTATTTCGGCACAGTCTGGGTTGGAAGAGCATGAAGGGGATTTTCCTATTGTAGTTTTTTTTCTAATCCCTTCTGTGCATTCATGTATTGTTGTTTTTCGTCTCCTAGGACCTCCATACGCAGGACCTCCATACGCAGGACCTCCATACGCAGGACCTCCAGCCGTTCAGCCGCCCAATCCTGCCTTTCCTGCACCTCCAAACCCAGCATATCCAGCCATGCCCTTCCCATCCTACCCACCCGGACCCAACCCCGTCTATCCTCCCGGCATGAACCAGCCCTCAGCCATGCCTTACAGCACACCATACCAGCACCCCTTTCCCCCGGCTGTGACCGCGCCGCACGCGCCGTTCCCTGCAGCAGGACACCCCTGCCCCGTGCCGCAGTATGGGGGTCCCCCGGCCGGAATCGGCGCACCTGGACACAAGAAACACAAGAAGATGAAGAAGATGAAGAAAGGGCATAAAGCTCACAAGGAGCATAAACACATGAAGCACGGCAAGGTAAGAGGCAGCATCAAACATCACGCTGCTCCCTCATTCCTCACACAGGTCAGGCTGTTGAAGCTCGTGTTGAATGGTTCAGTGTCTGAATGCTGTGTCTCTTGTGGTTTTGCAGCATTCCTCGAGCAGCAGCAGCAGCAGCAGCAGTGACCGACTGAAGAGCAGCTCCTGAACCGATTCCTCTGATTTCACAAGTGTCAGGGCAGAGCCCCGCAGCAATAACGTGATAAACTAATGCAGTGATGTATAGCACTTAAGTAAATGTGTTTCTGTGAGTCTGATTGCTTTTCTAATCAATTAAAGATCTTTAAGAAATAATGAGCTGTCCTTGTCAGGAGATCCGCTCGTCTTCATTATGTAATGTCAGACGTTTGCCTCTATTTAATGGACCATTGTAATGTAAAGCTCACTTCCTTTATGCATTAAACTTACTTTGAAGAGAAAAGTGCTCTTTCCTCTATTCATTTTGTTGTTTTAGAAAAAAGTAAAAAAATGAATAGTGTTTTTGCTTGGATACATTTAGTTTTAACTTTTCTCGCCCTCATGCTGTTCTACACCTGCTGTGACTACAGTATTCCCTTTCTTCAGTGAAACACTAAATTGTAAGTAGAATGGCATGAAAGCGGACGGTGATTTCGAATGCAGTGTCATACAGCATGGCCCGTTATGATGATGCTGTTTTGGAGTCTGGCATTTACAATCATCTGTTGTCATTTTATGAACAAACCTATTTCGGCACAGTCTGGGTTGGAAGAGCATGAAGGGGATTTTGCTATTGTAGTTTTTTTTCTAATCCCTTCTGTGCATTCATGTATTGTTGTTTTTCGTCTCCTAGGACCTCCATACGCAGGACCTCCATACGCAGGACCTCCAGCCGTTCAGCCGCCCAATCCTGCCTTTCCTGCACCTCCAAACCCAGCATATCCAGCCATGCCCTTCCCATCCTACCCACCCGGACCCAACCCCGTCTATCCTCCCAGCATGAACCAGCCCTCAGCCATGCCTTACAGCACACCATACCAGCACCCCTTTCCCCCGGCTGTGACCGCGCCGCACGCGCCGTTCCCTGCAGCAGGACACCCCTGCCCCGTGCCGCAGTATGGGGGTCCCCCGGCCGGAATCGGCGCACCTGGACACAAGAAACACAAGAAGATGAAGAAGATGAAGAAAGGGCATAAAGCTCACAAGGAGCATAAACACATGAAGCACGGCAAGGTAAGAGGCAGCATCAAACATCACGCTGCTCCCTCATTCCTCACACAGGTCAGGCTGTTGAAGCTCGTGTTGAATGGTTCAGTGTCTGAATGCTGTGTCTCTTGTGGTTTTGCAGCATTCCTCGAGCAGCAGCAGCAGCAGCAGCAGCAGTGACTGACTGAAGAGAAGCTCCTGAACCGATTCCTCTGATTTCACAAGTGTCAGGGCAGAGCCCCGCAGCAATAACGTGATAAACTAATGCAGTGATGTATAGCACTTAAGTAAATGTGTTTCTGTGAGTCTGATTGCTTTTCTAATCAATTAAAGATCTTTAAGAAATAATGAGCTGTCCTTGTCAGGAGATCCGCTCGTCTTCATTATGTAATGTCAGACGTTTGCCTCTATTTAATGGACCATTGTAATGTAAAGCTCACTTCCTTTATGCATTAAACTTACTTTGAAGAGAAAAGTGCTCTTTCCTCTATTCATTTTGTTGTTTTAGAAAAAAGTAAAAAAATGAATAGTGTTTTTGCTTGGATACATTTAGTTTTAACTGAGGAGGATTCTGAAACAACACCCGTTTCTTTGTACATTGCTTTTTCCTAACTTAAGCAGTAAAAGTGTATTGATTGAAGTTAATAATTCATGAAGCTGAGATAGATCTTGGTTCCTGTAGCCATGAGAATCATGCAGGAGTCGGATTTGACCAGCAGTGGACTTGCTCCAGTGGTGTAACAGTAGAACTGCTGCACAGGCAGTTTTAATAAAACATGAAGAGAAGCTTGAAACACCTGACCAAGCGATTACTTTGCCAACAAATCTTGAGAATCACACAGCTCGGCGTGTTTTACATTAAAATATCTCCTTAATGGCGCAGAATCCGATGAAGTTGTTCATATGACACACTGAGAGGAGATCTGACGCGTGGCGCTCCGGTCCGCCTGCTGACGCTAACGTGGAAGACCTGACAGGAGGAAGAGGAAGAGTTAGTTCATGAAGGCGATCCGCAGCGTGTTTCTGATGAAGATTAGGATCGGGACTCATAACGGCACGTTTCACTGCGATGAAGGTCTGGCGTGTTTCCTGCTGCGGCAGCTTCCGGAGTACAAGGTGCGTGACAGGAACCAGACTCTTCATCACAAACACAAACATCTCGGAACAAAAGTTCTACTTGTCTGGACATGAGGATGGCTCTTGGCTCCCGGGTCTCTTCCGTTTGAGCAGACTCTTTCCTCGGTCTTCCAGCTATCTTAGGTATGTTAGGCGAGATGGTATAGCGTTCCCATAGCGATGACGTCATCGCAGCATTGAAGTGAACCTATGAGAGGGAACACAGTCTCATCTGCACGTGCACAGTTATGTGTGTGTGTGTGTGTGTGTGTGTGTGTGAGTGAGTGAGTGTGTGTTCTCCTGGCTCAGTGTGATGTAGTGGTTGATGTCGGAGGATGCTCCCGCTCGCCAGTGCTACGACCATCACCAGAGGTACTCATACAAAACTCGCCGTAGATTGCGTCCTGAAAGTGTTTCCAGATTTATAAAGCCATTCGTAATCCCTTTATAAACCCCAGTCAGGGGAAGACTGCCTTTAGTGTTTCTGCAGTTTTACTGTAACCTCATCTGCATATCAGTCACTCCTTACGATCTCAACTTGAAAAGTACTCATTACATTTTTGCGTTTTTATTTCATCTTATGCACATTCAATATGATAAACAGAAGCTCAAAGGTGCTTTTGACGCGTGCAAACCAGTGATGTTTGTTTTCATGCATCAAGCACACATTTCAGCTTCGGTTGTAACTTCCATCGAGTCAGTCTCTGGCTTCAGAAGTTTGCTTTAAATTATCATCATTGATTATAGTTGCATTCAGCCAATATATTACACCGTTTCCTCAGATTTGATCATTCATGTTGTGGTGGGAATGATTGCTTTTTAAAATTAAATATAACAAATCAAAAAAAAAAAAAGTATTTGTAAATCATGTGTAGTGATGCTCTTATTATGGAGTGGATCTAGTGGTATTATAATGATATATTAAGCAACAGTTAGGACTGTCAATGAATTCGTTTTTTTTTCATCTAAATAATATGCTTTGCTTATTAATTAATCTAATTAGTCGCAAATAATTATTTTTCAGTATTTGTTGAGAAAAACCTCTAAATGCACCAAATTAACAATTAAAAGATGAATGAAGTGTTCTTTCACAAAGTTAATGTTTGTTTTAGTTCTATGTGGCCTCTGCATCACGTCTGGCTGTTTAAAGGCAGACTCCATCTAAAACTGAAGACTGGAGATTTCCTCGCCCACACCGAGTACTCTGTACTGCGGGAAGCTGCCTCCTAGTCATTTCTGACTTATTACAAAACACAGAACAGTGTCTAAAAGCTGCTGTGTGACGAGCTGTACAGCAAACAAGATAAACCCAGACCCAGCGCTTCTCACACTTTGCACTAGAGTCACTGACGAGCAGATCAACTCTCCTACAAGACTCTTTATGATCAGCAGGTTTAGATATTAGAGTAAAACTGTGTGTTGTTTAGGCAGCAGTGTTGATTTAAAACTACATCACGGTCTATCAAAACATCCTGTGAAGACAAAACCAAATTGTATAAATATTTCAGCTTTAGACCATTTTTCTAGGGATGAGTCAAACTCATAATCGATGATGTATGTTATATGTAATTGGTCTACACACAAACAGTCTAATTGATAATGCAGATTGAGTTCCTCTGGCTGTTTTTACACTGCAGGTCTTGATTGCCAGTTCTGATTTGTTAACTATATCTGATGTTTTTGGGAACCAGCTTATATCATCTTTTAAAAGTGACCCGTATACAGTATCTGCATTTACATTATACCCTTGTCAAATCAACTCAAGGTAGACATACTGAGCCAGAAACAGGGTTGCCAGGTCTGTGAAATAAAACCAGACCAATTACTAATCAAAACTAGCCTCTTTAACAGTGTAAAAGTAGCTCAGTTCTGCAGGAAAACCGCGGCTTGGCAACACTGCCCAGAATTATTATATACATATGTCTCACTCATCAGCAGCAGGTGCGCTGCTCAGTGGCGCACTGCGTTTCAGTACACTGTGTTTGCGGTTTTGTTTGTTAGTCTAACGTTTATTCGTGGTTTGTTGGCTTCAGAAGTTTGCTTTAAATTATCATCATTGATTATAGTTGCATTCAGCCAATATATTACACCGTTTCCTCAGATTTGATAATTCATGTTGTGGTGGGAATGATTGCTTTTTAAAATTAAATATAACAAATCTAAAAAAAAAAAAAGTATTTGTAAATCATGTGTAGTGATGCTCTTATTATGGAGTGGATCTAGTGGTATTATAATGATATATTAAGCAACAGTTAGGACTATCAATGAATTCGTTTTTTTTTCATCTAAATAATATGCTTTGCTTATTAATTAATCTAATTAGTCGCAAATAATGATTTTTCAGTATTTGTTGAGAAAAACCTCTAAATGCACCAAATTAACAATTAAAAGATGAATGAAGTGTTCTTTCACAAAGTTAATGTTTGTTTTAGTTCTATGTGGCCTCTGCATCACGTCTGGCTGTTTAAAGGCAGACTCCATCTAAAACTGAAGACTGGAGATTTCCTCGCCCACACCGAGTACTCTGTACTGCGGGAAGCTGCCTCCTAGTCATTTCTGACTTATTACAAAACACAGAACAGTGTCTAAAAGCTGCTGTGTGACGAGCTGTACAGCAAACAAGATAAACCCAGACCCAGCGCTTCTCACACTTTGCACTAGAGTCACTGACGAGCAGATCAACTCTCCTACAAGACTCTTTATGATCAGCAGGTTTAGATATTAAAGTAAAACTGTGTGTTGTTTAGGCAGCAGTGTTGATTTAAAACTACATCACGGTCTATCAAAACATCCTGTGAAGACAAAACCAAATTGTATAAATATTTCAGCTTTAGACCATTTTTCTAGGGATGAGTCAAACTCATAATCGATGATGTATGTTATATGTAATTGGTCTAAACACAAACAGTCTAATTGATAATGCAGATTGAGTTCCTCTGGCTGTTTTTACACTGCAGGTCTTGATTGCCAGTTCTGATTTGTTAACTATATCTGATGTTTTTGGGAACCAGCTTATATCATCTTTTAAAAGTGACCCGTGTACAGTATCTGCATTTACATTATACCCTTGTCAAATCAACTCAAGGTAGACATACTGAGCCAGAAACAGGGTTGCCAGGTCTGTGAAATAAAACCAGACCAATTACTAATCAAAACTAGCCTCTTTAACAGTGTAAAAGTAGCTCAGTTCTGCAGGAAAACCGCGGCTTGGCAACACTGCCCAGAATTGAGTCAGCGTCAGTCGCAGCTAATTTTTTCAGTGACGTGCGACTCATTGACAGGAGAGTATCCCGTCTGTCCACTTACATGTACCTGACTCATGTCCGATTTATTTCCACACATGAGGCCTGAAACCGATCGGAGAACATCAGAGTCCAGGGGTTGTTCCTGCTTCACGTTCATGGGTTATATACGGCAGGGATTGAGTCTCTTAAACCATGTACTGTAAATGCAGCCTCTGTCAGATGAGTTACGTTCAGTACACAACAGCTGAATACATCACCACGCTGTGTAGAATGGGAACAGATGCTTAGCGTAAAGTTCAGGTCAATATCATACATTTCTTTAATCATATAAAGAATACTGCTTGAATATGAAAACTTTTCCATCACAGGAGGGCTTCCAGAAAGTGCTGGCTCTTGTAGGAGCTGAGTTCAAGGAATGCTTGCATTACTACATGAGATCATTGAGATCGTGCAGCAAGCGCTTCAGAGCAGATATCAGGTGATTAATATCTCAACATTACAGTCTGGAGGCTCTGATGTGAATGATTCCCCTGTAAGAGGCTCTCAGTGCGGCCTTTATTTAAAGCCTTCTCTAAACCACTGGTTCCCAGCCACACGTCTCCTCAATCAAACACACCTGATTCAGCTCATCTGCTGCTCTGAGCAAAGCAACAGCTTAGACACAAGTTCACTAAAGAGACTAGATGAGACAGAAGACATGGAATTACAGTAATAAGACTTCAAAAGAGTGGTCAAATAATACAGAAGTTTTTATTCAATTTTTGTGGGAGTAATACAAGTCAATAAAATAAATAAAGACCGCGTCCCATACATGCATTGCACAGGCTGCTGTAGTTCACAGTAAAACAGCCCAGTGCTGTGACTGGTGTCGAGTCTTGTGGATCCCAGCGGGGAGCTGCTGCTGCTGTCCCTGGAAAGAGCATCTGTTTGTGCTGGAGAAGCAGCTGAAGCTGGATGTGCTCATCAAGTTTGTGCTGTACCCGGATCAGAGCGGACACTGGAGAGTGCAATGTGTCCCGGCTGGACTCAATACCTTCCAGAACAGGTGCGAAACGCTGTCAGACCGTCACCACCACCATCACCGAATTCAATGATGAACTGTCTTTAACTGAAAAATGAGTGTTTACTATTGTCATTTTGCATTATTGACACTATTTTCCTAATTAATGCTGTTCAGTTGCTTTGTCACAATCTGTATTGTTAAAAGCGCTATATAAATAAAGGTGACTTGACTTGACTTGACCATCCGCGAACGTCTTCCATGCTGTTTTTCAAGAGTATACTTGTGACGCAAGATGTGAAAGACTTTGATATCTTCGAGTGTAATAACCGAAGGCCTCACAGATGGCTTGTTGTGTTAATGCTTGCATTACTACATGAGATCATTGAGATCGTGCAGCAAGCGCTTCAGAGCAGATATCAGGTGATTAATATCTCAACATTACAGTCTGGAGGCTCTGATGTGAATGATTCCCCTGTAAGAGGCTCTCAGTGCGGCCTTTATTTAAAGCCTTCTCTAAACCACTGGTTCCCAGCCACACGTCTCCTCAATCAAACACACCTGATTCAGCTCATCTGCTGCTCTGAGCAAAGCAACAGCTTAGACACAAGTTCACTAAAGAGACTAGATGAGACAGAAGACGTGGAATTACAGTAATAAGACTTCAAAAGAGTGGTCAAATAATACAGAAGTTTTTATAAAATTTTTGTGGGAGTAATACAAGTCAATAAAATAAATAAAGACCGCGTCCCATACATGCATTGCACAGGCTGCTGTAGTTCACAGTAAAACAGCCCAGTGCTGTGACTGGTGTCGAGTCTTGTGGATCCCAGCGGGGAGCTGCTGCTGCTGTCCCTGGAAAGAGCATCTGTTTGTGCTGGAGAAGCAGCTGAAGCTGGATGTGCTCATCAAGTTTGTGCTGTACCCGGATCAGAGCGGACACTGGAGAGTGCAATGTGTCCCGGCTGGACTCAATACCTTCCAGAACAGGTGCGAAACGCTGTCAGACCGTCACCACCACCATCACCGAATTCAATGATGAACTGTCTTTAACTGAAAAATGAGTGTTTACTATTGTCATTTTGCATTATTGACACTATTTTCCTAATTAATGCTGTTCAGTTGCTTTGTCACAATCTGTATTGTTAAAAGCGCTATATAAATAAAGGTGACTTGACTTGACTTGACCATCCGCGAACGTCTTCCATGCTGTTTTTCAAGAGTATACTTGTGACGCAAGATGTGAAAGACTTTGATATCTTCGAGTGTAATAACCGAAGGCCTCACAGATGGCTTGTTGTGTTCAGTTACTGGTTATAAATTAATTGCATTGTTTAACTGCGGCTCGGGCCGAAAGCTCACAGTGCTGCATCGTTCATCATGGCTGAATGGAGAGGAGGTTGATTTCTTCTGCTCGTGTGCCGTGTCTCTAGATTGAGTCTTCTGGAGGAATGGCGAGGGCTGCAAAACGAGGCGCTGTCGGAGCGGAGTGGGATTCCCGGCTGCATCTTCGTCCACGCCAGCGGTTTCATCGGGGATAACTGGACGCTGGAGATGGCCAAGAGAATGCTGCAGACTGCACCCAGAGCTGTACTCAGCACCCGACACACCCTGAAAACCCCATCTGCTTGTACTCACTATGAAAAATACATACAGGTGCATCTCAATAAATTAGAATGTCGTGGAAAAGTTCATTTATTTCAGTAATTCAACTCAAATTGTGTAAATCGTGTATTAAATAAATTCAATAAGACGCCTCTGACGTTGTTTGTGGTTCAGGAGTGGCTTAACAAGAGGAATATGACAACTGTAGCCAAATTCCTTGACACGTCTGTGTGTGGTGGCTCTTGATGCCTTGACCCCAGCCTCAGTCCATTCCTTGTGAAGTTCACTCAAATTCTTGAATTGATTTTGCTTGACAATCCTCATAAGGCTGCGGTTTTCTCGGTTGGTTGTGCATCTTTTTCTTTCACACTTTTTCCTTCCACTCAACTTTCATTTAACATGCTTGGATACAGCACTCTGTGAACAGCCAGCTTCTTTGGCAATTAATGTTTGTGGCTTACCCTCCTTGTGAAGGGTGTCAATGATTGTCTTCTGGACAACTGTCAGATCAGCAGTCTTCCCCATGATTGTGTAGCTTAGTGAACCAAACTGAGAGACCATTTTGAAGGCTCAGGAAACCTTTGCAGGTGTTTTGAGTTGATTAGCTGATTGGCATGTCACCATATTCTAATTTGTTCACAATTAAAAGAACCAAAGACTTAAACTACTTCAGTCTGTGTGCATTTAATTTATTTACTACACGAGTTTCACAATGAGTTGAATTACTTTAAAAAAAATGAACTTTTCCACGACATTCTAATTTATTGAGATGCACCTGTACTTTTACACAGATATTGTGGATTATTTGATTCTTTCTGCATCCTGTGGAAGGATTGAATTTCACATCAAGATCAGAGAAGAACAGCAGACCAGAAGACCTGGACTAGACATCTACATTTCAAATGGCTTATCTTACGTAGTATTTTTGTCTTGTTTCTAGTCAAAATAGCTTAAGATATTTAGTCTTGTTTCCAGGGGGAAAAACTAAATTAAGTGCGTTTTGCTTAAACCAAGTAAAATTATCTGCCAGTGGGGTAAGTAAAATACTCTAGTTTTAACAATATTTTACTTACCCCACTGGCAAATAACTTTCCTTGTTCTACATCTACATAGACGCATTTATGTAGATTGGGGGTGCATTCCCTTCAGAAACAATGTAATCCACTGCGTCTTCACCGATTTAGATGTCGGGAGTAAATGACGACTGCTGTTCATTATTACATCCAACAACAGAACACCTCAATCGCTTGTTAGAGTCATTCTTGTCTACATCTGCTCCGGCGGTGAAACAATGGCGGACTGATGACAGCTCACTCAGGGCGGAGCTAAGGTAAAACCCTACTGTCAATCAAACTATCTTGGGAGGGGCCTGTTTTGGCATCTGAGATCGTTTTGATTTGAGAAAGGGGTAAACATTTAACCAGATTTTTAAAAAAGCACTGGGTGGATTTTTATCATTATAGGGTGGTTGTGTACACACACTGCCAACACACATTTCAGTTCAAACAACTTGTAAAAGTACATGTAGCATCCTATGACCCCTCAAAAAAGGATAGTTCACCCAAAAATGAAAATACCCCATGATTTACTCACCCTCAAGCCATCCTAGCTTTATATGACTTTCTTCTTTCAGACGAATATAACTAGAGTTGTATTAAAAAATGTCCTGGCTCTTCCAAGCTTTATAATGGCAGTGAATGGGAGTCGAGATTTTGAAGCAAAATAAAGTGCATCGATCCATCATTAAAAGTGCTCCACACGGCTCCGGGGCTGAATAAAGACCTTCTGAAGCAAATTGATGCATTTGTGTAAGACTAATATCCATATTTAAAACTTTATAAACCATAAAATTAAAAGGCCTTTACATCAGTGACCCTAGTACTTGCACTCTTCTGGTTGCTGTTAGTGTGGAGAAGACTGAAGATGGGAGACATCCAGTCTCGAATGAAGTTTACAAGTGATTCAGTTCATGTACTGTTGCCAGTTCCTGGTTCCATCCTTCAAGTGAAGTTTAGACTGTATGTGATAAGGATGAATGGGAAAGATGAAGTAAATGAAGTTTCCTCATGTATCTGCTGGTCTAGCTCTGCCCAACCAGAGTCCATCAAGCCATGCTAATAACCCCTCAGCCCAAAACAAACACCTGGGCCCCATCTCAAGGTTCATGTGGGTGACCAAGCATTGTGACCAATCAAGCACATCAATGCAGTGGACTATCAGATGCATTCAGTCATAAAGCTCTCAGCAAAATGAATTGATTTGAAAGCAAATGTAGTTCTTGACACCGGTCCTTCTCTGCGTCTTTGCTTGACTGCAGCAGTGACTGGATACAGCAGTGAATGGCCAGGGATTCTGCATCTGTGCACAGATGGACAGCTGAAGATAATGTGCGCTAGATGTTTTCAGACAGTATGATCTGGATGTTATCTGTGATGAAAGCTAGAACACAGATGTGTGTTCTCTGCCACCTTTCTCAGAACTCTTTGATCAGAAGGTTTGTTCAGCTTGTTCACTGAAAAAATAACTAGTAAGATTTAGTTAAAAATATCCTTGTAACAATATGCGCGAACACATTTTAAGTAAGTTTTACTGCTCTACTATCAAGTACAACTTACTCGCTATTAAGTAAAATCTACTTCCTACTAAACATTCATTAAGAAATTAAATCTAATTGCAGTCTGATTAAGTAAATATTATTTAATTATATTTAATTTAAAAGTTGTGCTTATTTAAAGAAATTAAGGAAAGTTTATTATTTTTTAGACCAGAACCTTGCATTTATCAAAATATTAAGTAAATCTTACTATTTACTGAAGTAAGTTTATTATATATATTTTTGTTCGAGATGTCCCATTTACTTAGCTTTATGAATATATATTACTCCCTATGATTATGTAAACATTGCTAATTTCTTTTTGATTAATATAACCACATAAACTGTTTTCATTTTGTCTATACCAGGGGTTCTCAACTCTGGCCCTCGAGGTCCACTTTCCTGCAGAGTTTAGCTCTAACCCTAATCAAACACACCTGAGCATGCTAATCAAGGTCTTCAGGGTTACTAGAGGTCTACAGGTTGCTAAACTCTGCAGGGACATGGACCTCTGGTATAGACCAGAGTTGAGAACCTCTGGTCTTTACCTTTATCACAAATCACACAACTAAAATACAATTAAACTCTTTATTTTTCCAACATTAATAAAAGTGAATCATTCACATGACCTACTAAAGTCTGGACACAAGTTTTTAAAGGTGCATTCAGTAAAGCCTCACAAAAAAGTGCCATTAATCAACAAAACATGCATACCTCCACTGGTGCTATTTAGTCTATTGAAAATAGAAAGAAATGAAGTATGACCGAATGCTACTTCACGTGTCTGCTGTTCTGTAATAAAATTCAATCTCCATTACCAACATGAACTGCATTTGCTGTACCATACATAGTTTTGACCCCAGGAGGTATCAAATATAGAAAAAAAAAACTTAAACAGAACAAGATGAGGTTTTAACCTGACAGAGCTAGGTAGTATTGATATAACCAAAACTGCATCCAACATGAAAACCATCAGTCAGTCCTTCTCCCCACACCTCAAGCGTCCACTGTATCGGCTCGTCGTGACAGGAAGGTCACCCTGTAAATCAGATGTCTCCAAACTCGGTCCTGGAGGGCCGGTGTCCTGTAAATAACCCCAATTAAACACACCTGAACCGGCTAATTAAGGTCTTACTAGGCGTACTGGAAACTTCCAGGCAGGTGTGTTGAGGCAAGTGGGAGCTAAACTCTGCAGGACACTGGCCCTCCAGAGCCTATGTGAGCCTTGGCTACCACGTCGACCGGCTTAACAATAGTGGGCTATGGCTATGTGAGCCTTGGCTACCACGCCGACCGGCTTAACAATAGTGGCTAGCTCTGCCCAACCAGAGTCCATCAAGCCATGCTAATAACCCCTCAGCCCAAAACAAACACCTGGGCCCCATCTCAAGGTTCATGTGGGTGACCAAGCATTGTGACCAATCAAGCACATCAATGCAGTGGACTATCAGATGCATTCAGTCATAAAGCTCTCAGCAAAATGAATTGATTTGAAAGCAAATGTAGTTCTTGACACCGGTCCTTCTCTGCGTCTTTGCTTGACTGCAGCAGTGACTGGATACAGCAGTGAATGGCCAGGGATTCTGCATCTGTGCACAGATGGACAGCTGAAGATAATGTGCGCTAGATGTTTTCAGACAGTATGATCTGGATGTTATCTGTGATGAAAGCTAGAACACAGATGTGTGTTCTCTGCCACCTTTCTCAGAACTCTTTGATCAGAAGGTTTGTTCAGCTTGTTCACTGAAAAAATAACTAGTAAGATTTAGTTAAAAATATCCTTGTAACAATATGCGCGAACACATTTTAAGTAAGTTTTACTGCTCTACTATCAAGTACAACTTACTCGCTATTAAGTAAAATCTACTTCCTACTAAACATTCATTAAGAAATTAAATCTAATTGCAGTCTGATTAAGTAAATATTATTTAATTATATTTAATTTAAAAGTTGTGCTTATTTAAAGAAATTAAGGAAAGTTTATTATTTTTTAGACCAGAACCTTGCATTTATCAAAATATTAAGTAAATCTTACTATTTACTGAAGTAAGTTTATTATATATATTTTTGTTCGAGATGTCCCATTTACTTAGCTTTATGAATATATATTACTCCCTATGATTATGTAAACATTGCTAATTTCTTTTTGATTAATATAACCACATAAACTGTTTTCATTTTGTCTATACCAGGGGTTCTCAACTCTGGCCCTCGAGGTCCACTTTCCTGCAGAGTTTAGCTCTAACCCTAATCAAACACACCTGAGCATGCTAATCAAGGTCTTCAGGGTTACTAGAGGTCTACAGGTTGCTAAACTCTGCAGGGACATGGACCTCTGGTATAGACCAGAGTTGAGAACCTCTGGTCTATACCTTTATCACAAATCACACAACTAAAATACAATTAAACTCTTTATTTTTCCAACATTAATA